AACTGGAAGAATGTAATCCATGTCACTGAATTGTATGTACATGTAGAAATTTTTGAAATGGTGTAACTTTGGCTATGTATATTTTCACCAAAAAAAGGTCCTCCAAGGTCGAGAAGGGAGAGTGTTGACATGTCGCGGGGTTGTTAACCAATGTCATAAAACAGTACGTGTACTGACTGTTTAAAGAAAAACTATTTGTTCTGTAAACCTTCATCTAAAGTACAATAAAAAAAAATGTCAACATGTAAAACCAAACCTCATGGTGAACATCCAGAATGTGGCGTAAATGCCACTATCCATGGCTGCAAAGATGGATCTGAACTAAACCTTATGTATTTATACCAGACCGAGGGCCCCTTGAGGAGAGCCCCCTACTTGTTTGCCTTTGTCTCCCCAACATTTTAACACATTCCACACATCTTTATCACATGAATGCCCCAATGAATGAAAGAATTAATGTGAAAATTCTAAGTCACCTTCCTTCTCTAACACAGCCAGCTTGGCTTCAGGAAATTACCAGGATCTGGTAAATCAGCTTTGTTTGATGAGAACGAAAGTAGTTTTGGGGCTCTCCAAGGCCCAGAGAAAGGTCCTGTCCACAAATGGGCCAGATTAAAACCATAGCAGCACCAGCCCTTAGTTACTTACTGGGCTAATTCTGTGTGCACAGTCTCCAGAAATGATTTTAAAATTACAACCCTTCAGTGTCTTGCTTATTCTGTTTCACAGCACTCCAAACTTCATACAAAATGTGCTATATGTAGTCTTTTCTTCATTTTGCAATATGTTCAGTTTGCAAAAGACATATGTGTTGTTTTTTTTTTTCACCCAAAAGCAGACTGGCCTGCAGAAGTCTCAAGACATCAATTTAATTCATTCATTCACTCATTTAGTCTATACAGATTTGCTGCTACTATGCAGGGTGCTTCTCAGCATCCAGTCTCTTGCCCCAGTGACCACACTGACTCGTGGGAGAGATAAGATCATTTTATACCCTGGAAGAGAAGTTTGGGGCCGGAAATCTGTGACACTTTGGGAGAAAGGGCCAAAGAATGGAAAGGAAGGCTTGCAGCTTAGATGTCTGGAGTTTGAAAGCATCCAGAGAAAGTAAAGGTAAACTTGACCCTGCATCTGAAAATGCCAAAGGCAAAGCAGCTCTGTGGGCTAGGAAACTTTCAAAGTCAAAATTCTGGGAGGACTGTGTGAGATTAGTGAAAGGACCCACCACGAAGTCCAGCGGACAGTGTGTACTACTTAAGATTAACGACCGCAGGTCCTACCTTGCTAGATTCTTCCAGAGGGCGCCCATCCCGCCTCCCTCACTCCTTCAACCAACAAGTTCCAATCCTGCACGAATCCTGGGTGCCCCGCACTGTGCTGGGGCCAAAGAGCCTGCTCAATTCTCCAGAATTTTCACGCTCTTGCCATGCGCTCCAGTCTGCCTTGCCTGGACTTCTCCAAATACCAAACCCCAAGAGCGTCTCCATATCCTCCTTCTTCCAAGGACCCTGATCCCACTTCTGAAGGGAGGTCTCGTTATGCAGGACTGGTTTCGCTCCCCGCTGGGTTATCGCATCCCCCTCTCATCCCCTGCACTTGCCACGGACCGACTTCCTGAGAAGGAGAATCTGCCTGCTCTGAGAGCGCGCAATCCCCCAAGAAGAACAGCAAACCAGGCGAAAAACTGGCGCACCGGGGTACCTTTCCCATCAAACCCAAAGGGTGTCCTGGCAGAGTCTGGACTGCGGAAGAGGGTATTTGCGGAGACTAGGAGGCTAGGATAGGGATCACCCCCAGGGGCTCTGACATCAGGTTCAGGTGGGGCCTGAGTGCGTGGCGGCCTTACCCGGGCATGAGTCCGGGGGGCACGTAGACGGCATTGAACTCGGTCAGTAGGGTGCCCGCGCTACGAGAGGCCATGGTGGGTGCGGCGAGCGCGCAGCGAGTCACGGCGCCCCCGAGCTCTGCGCCGGATGGTAAACAGCCCGCGCGGGTCACCTGGCAACCGCGCGCCTGGCAACGCGAGTCAGGGTCGGAGCGGTCCTGTCCCGCGCCGCGGCCGCCTTTTGGTGGGACTGCACCCTCCTCCCCGGCCCCTACCCAGAGCAGCCCCACGGGCGCGCCCAGAAGATGCCTCCTCATCTCCAAGTGCTCTCTCGTGTGACCCTGCAAATCGCGGCTCCCACCGAAGCCTCAGCTGTCGCACCCAAAAATGGACTCATCAGTCTGCTTTACTGCCTGCCGGGGGCGGGGGTAGGGTGGTCGTGAGGCCCAGGTGCGGTTCGGAATGTAGAAACCGGGTGGAGAGGCCCGGCTGGATCTGCCCAAGGATCGTTTTGTTCCGGCACGGGACTCGGTGACTAGGCTTGGAACGCTATGGCGGGAAGTGTCGGTGCAGACGTGGAGGCCACGCAGAGGGAAGCAGCCCCACCGCGGTTCAGCCTGGTGGCTGGAGTGGCCATCGAGGCCCAAGGAGGCTCCAAGGGGAGATTGGGCGGGGGTGGGGGGCTCCGCGAGCGGCCCCGCAGTGTGCCCTGCTTGGCGTATTTGCCCAGAAGGTTCTGTTAATTCAAGTGCATGTGTGTTGCTGAAGAAACCCTGATGGTGTAGCGGTGAAGACCTAAGGCCGCTAACCAAAAGATGAGCAGTTCAAATCCACCAGGCGCTACTTGGAAACCCTATGGAGCAGTTCTACTCTGTGTCATGTAGGGTTGCTATGAGTTGGAATCGACTTGACAGCAACGGGTTTTGTGTGTTGGGGGAGAGGGTGGGCATTTTTTTCATAAATCTTGTCTCTCCGTGGAAACTGCCTTTTCATCTCATATTGTCCCTCAAACAAGTCCACAAAAATAGTTTTATAAGGGGCAAAAAGCAAATTGGGAAAAACTCTGGCTGCGTGGTTTACATTTGAGCCCAGTTCCTCAGGTCAGTCAGGCCCAGGTGATTCCACAAGCGTTGAGGCGTTTGTCAGAGAGCAAACCTTCTGAAGGCCCACGTGATGGCTCCCTAGGGAGTGACTAAGGTCCCTGGGTGACACAAATGGTTTGCCATCGACTGCTAACCTAAAGGATGATGCTTGGAACCCACCCAGCAATGCTGTGGTAGAAAGTCCTGGCGATCTGCTTTCATAAAGGTTACAGCCAAGAAATCCCTATGGAGCAGTACTACTCTGTAACACACGGGGTTGCCAGGAGTTGGAATCAACTACATGGTAGTACGTTGAGGGTGTAACTGTCTGGTGCCTCCAAATCTGGAATTTCTCCAATGACCCTCACACCAGCCCTGGGAGGTGTGTAGAGAGGGCCAGCACTTTAGGTTGTCAGTGGGGGTGGTGCTAGCTTCCAACCTGCTGATGATCTTCATGACTTGGACCCAGCCCCTGCCCCCTCACCGTGCAGCAGTCCTGGTATTAATAACAACGCTCTGCAGTTTACAGTTGCTTTTCCCAGTCTCATTTCATCCCCATGGATGCAGATCTGGGAGAAGTGTTACCTTCACAGTTTGACTCTGTAAATGGCAGCTGATGAAGACCACAGACACTAATGAGTTCACAGGATGCTGTTGCAACCAGAATCTTCTAAAGACTCTGATAGATAACAGTGAAATTGGAGGAGAAGGACCGTAGGCTTCCAACAGGAGCAAAAAGCAGAAAAACCGAGGTCTGAGGAGGAAAAGGAGCTGGAGGTAAAGGACTGGTTGCAAACTAGGGGGAAGGAATTCCCACCGACTCTTCAAAATACATTCATGTCTGCATTTTTCTAAATTCTCCATGTGGAGCATGTGTTACAATAAGAAAAATAAAAGCTGTTAAACAAAAAACCCTCTGCTCAGGTGTCACACACTCTGGAAAGGCTTTCCTAACGTCCCTGGACAAGATAGAGTGCCCTCCTTTGCCCCATTCCTGGCCTCTGAGCCACTGAGCCTTGCTCGTGGTATCCACGAGCCTGTGCTGTGATGATCTGTGTTCTTATCCGTCTGTCTGTTCTGCACAAGGTACTGTACTGTGTGATCTCCATCCCTGCACCAGACAGGAGAATGAGTGCAGTAAACGTTTGTTGAATAAAGGATATACTAAGAGTTACCCAAATGGGTATCAGTCAGGAGAGTGACAAAATGTGGGATCTGGCTTAGGTTTCAGAAAGGTCAGTTGGGCCCCTGAGATGCCCACGCTGGCTCAGCTGAGGTGTGATGGGTGTTGACAGGGTGGAATTGCTATCATTTTATAGTTGTGGAAACTGAGGTTCAGAAAAGCCCAATGCCTTGCCCAGGGAAGGTTTGTGGGCTTTTTCCTGAAGATGCACCGATCTGTAAGAGGCCTCATAAAATTTACCCCCTTTGTTTGGGAGGAAACTTCCAGAGAGCCATACAAACACAGATTACCTGCTGACCTCACAATGGAAATGCTAATGAATTTAGTCTTTTTTGGAAGAGACACTGAATTATCTAATTTTAAAAAAAATTTACACATTCACTTGTATTCAATAAATACAATATCCTAAAATATTCTTAAATTCAATATAGTTAGATAAAAGTGAGAGAGGAGAACAGGAGGCTGGGAAGAAAAAAGGGAGTTGGAAAAAGAACATAATAAGAAGGAAACAGCAAGCAAAGTAGCATGGAAACATCTAGAAGAGGGAAGAAGAAGGCTATAGAATTTGAAGGGGTAACCTCTTATTGGGAGCCCTGGTGGTGAAGTGGTTAAGAGCTTGGCTGCTAACCAAAAGGTTAGCAGTTCGAATCTACCAGCTGCTCCTTGGAAACCCAATGGGGGCAGTTCTACTCTGTCCTTTAGGGTCACTGTGAGTCGACTTGGCAGCAACGGGTTTGGTTTTTGGTTTAATCTCTTGTTGTAAGGTCCCTGGATGGTGAAAACAGTTTGCTCTCTGCTGCTAACCAAAAGGTTGGCAATTCTGAACCTACCCAGTGGCACCCTGTCAGAAAGGCCTGGCGATCTGCTTCTGTAAAGATTACAGCCAAGAAAACCCTATGCAGCTCAAATATTTCTCTTTTTTAACCTTTAGACCCTGTTCCAGCTAGGTCACCATGATCACCCTTTTATCCTGTCAACATTTATTGGGTATCCTACTATGCATGGGGATGAGGCTCTGGGGCTGCAAAGATGCTATGCCCCAGGGCCACACATTCAGCAGGAGGAGAAGCAAGCGGAGCAGCCCCATGATGCAATGAGAGGAGAGGGCAGGGGCAGCACCGAGGAGGCCCCTAACCCAGTGCAGAGGCAACTTCCAGGAATAGGCACCCGTTGAGCTGAGTCCAGAGTGAGCAAAAGTTGGTCAGGCCAAGAAGGCAGAGGGAGAGTGTTATGGACTGAATTGTGTCCCCCTAAAATGTGTGTCAACGAGGCTAGGCCACGATTCCCAGTATTGTGTTGTTGTCCACCATTTTGTGATTTGATGTAATTATCCTATGTGTTGTAAATCCTAACCTCTATGATGTTAATGAGGCAGGTTTAGAGGCAGTTATGTTAATGAGGCAGGACAGAATCTACAGGATTAGGTTGTATCTTGAGTCAATCTCTTTTGAGATATAAAAGAAAGAAGCGAGCAGAGAGGAGAGGGACCTTATACCACCAAGAAAGAACAGCCAGGAGCAGAGCATGTCCTTTGGACCTGGGGTCCCTGTGCTGAGAAGCTCCTAGACCAAGGGAAGATTGATGACAAGGGCCTTCCCCCAGAGCTGACAGAGAGAGAAAGCCTTTCCCTGGAGCTGGCACTCTGAATTTGAACTTCTAGCCTAGACTGTGAGAAAATAAACTTCTGTTTGTTAAAGCCATCCACTTGGGGTATCTCTGTTACAGCAGCACTAGATAACTAAGACAGAGGAGGTTTGGAGAGGAGGGGCATTCCCTGGAGAGCAAATGGCAACAGCAAGTGTGCAAAGGGTTCCAGCCCCTGGGGCCCCTTCCTCGCTGAGCCCCTCCTGGGGTATGTTGCTGGAAGAAAGGAGGGAGTAGTTCCCCTTTGGTTCTTGGAAATTCTGCCATAGACATCCCTTCATACCTTTCCCCTAGCCCCAGGCAGCTGATTAGAGAAGCAGGCCTGACAGCTCTAAAGCTCTTGCTGGAAACCAAACGTCAGCCCATCTCCCCACCGTCAGCCCTCTTCATCTTTAAACACTGCTCTTAGTAGAACATAGCCTTCCATGCCTTCACGGAGTCCCTGGGGGTGCAAGGGGTTAAGTGCTAGGCTGCTAATGGATAGGTTGGAGATTCGAGTCCACCTGGAAAGAAAGACCTAGCGATCTGCTTCCAAAAAATCAGCCATTGAAAACCCTACAGAGCACAGTCCTATTCTAACACACACGGTGGCGCCGTGAGTGGGAATCGACTCAACGGCAGATGGTGGTGGTGGTAGTCTTCACAATCACGGTTAGCCTGGTTCCTGAGCTCCCCTCCAGCAGCACCCCATTCTCCCGGCCTCCTGAGATTCAGAGCCAGTGATCCCAGGGCGGAGAGGCAGGACCTTTCTTTCATGGGGTGGGTGGGCAAGCACACTCCCCTCCCTCTCTTAAGACCCTAAACACTTGAGCTCCCATTTCTACGGGACCAGCCACCAAGCAGAGCCTTGTAGTTGCCTGCTAGATCCTGATTTCCAGCTGGGGAGCTCAGGGTTGGAATTTCTACATAGGACCCAGCCAGAGCAGCCAGGCCTGGCCCACCCAGGTTCCTCAAGCCTCGTGGGCACCAGTGGCCAGGTGTGGCCAATTTAATTGTGTGGGAGGTGTGGATCACCCAGAAAACACCAGTGCAACTGTCCATCTTCCCGTGCACACAGAGTGCAAAGTTCCTTCTTTCCCGGTGGGAAGGGGTGTCCTACCTAGGCTCATGCCCACTCCCATGAGATTGCTTAGCAGCTGGGAAGCAGAGCATTGCCGCGGGGTGGGCAGGAGCCTCCACCCGAAGG